TAATATTAGCTGGGTGCTTGCTGGCTCTTAAAAGTTCCTGAAGTTCTTGTTTTTGGGCGTAGCCCCTAAATGATTAACAGCCTGCCATCTTCATCTTATTAATAGAAAAATACGGGACAAAAATTGGCAGTTTCTCCCACATTGTTTCCAATGACATTTAAATAGGAGATACTGTCACCTCTCCTTATTACTATTATGCTCTCTGCTCACTCGAGCTGCCTTCCCAATTCCCAGAGTACTAAGATACTTGAGAATTCCCAGGCTATTTGGGCAAAACACTTGGGGGTCACTAGTTTGCAGGCTGGAAGTGATCTAAAGATTCCTGCATCTTAGCAGGGTTTGGCTGTCGCTGGAGATCAAAAACTCTCTACGTCCTAAAAAATGTATTACTGATTAACTTGAGAGCCAGTTGTGGCTGTTCCTGGATCTGCAGACCCTGGCTATGATCAATCATGCCTTAGTTACCTGCATGCATATCTGATGACTTCAATAAATTCTGCATGAGCTGCCATTTGAAGAGTATCCAAAGTTTTAGCTGGTAGAAAATGCAATAGCTGGATAGCTTATATGTGCTTCTGGAACAGCACATATCACACCTCTGCTCCCTGAGCTGCCTTGGTTGCCAGTTTGCTTGTGGCTCCAGTTCAAGGCTTTGCTGGTTTTGCCTTTGAAAGCCATTCTTGGCATGGGACTGAGCCTTTCCCTGCTTATTTCAACCTAACCATGAGACCTGTCAAAGAAGACATGCGGCAAGCAACATCAGCTGGGGATCTGCCTTTGGGTTGGAGGACCCATGCCTTCTCTGTTGTGGCTCCCACATTATGGAATATCCTTTCCCCTGAAATGAGATTAGTTCCACCCCTTTTGATCTTCTGGGTGGCTCTCAAGACCTGACTATGTCATCAGGCCTGGGGCTCTGGGGCCATCTGAGATATGCTCAGGTGGTTCCATTGCTGAGGTGGCCATTTGCATATTGCCTAGGGGATTGTATAGCTGTTGTTATATTACTTATTTCTTAATCTTAATATAGATTTTTACATTTTTATATATGTCCTTTATATGATTGTGATTTTTAATCTGAATTGTTATATACTGCCTACCGTTACATTTGGTAAAGTGAGGGATGGAGAGGATATACACATTTCATTTCTGTATAAAAAATCTAAAGGGTGACTTTAGAGTGTCTAAATTGAAGTAGAACTAATAAAGATGGTATAAAAATAAAGAAGGATTGGAAAGCTGGCGCCCCATGGTTGCTGAACATATTTTGGCCATTTCTCTTTACTGTTGTGCTACTTTCCTGGCAAAAAAAAAAATTCCCACAACTATATTACAAATATAATACAGGAAGTCCTTGGTCTCCATCCACAATGGGGACCAACAATTCAATCAGGAAGCAATACAGCTGTAAGGCAAAATCTTACGGTGCCACACCAACCTGTTACCTCAGTTGAAGGTCTCATGTCCCTGTCGGCATCTGAATCAGAGGGGGAAGCCAAACAGCTGACAGTGAGTGGGAGTGTGGCTCCATTGGCTGTGGAAGAAACTGTGGAAGGGCAAAGTCCAGCTGGGCAGAGCAGGGGAGACATAGAGCAAGGGAGAGGGAATTCAGAGGAAGACCCAGGCCCACCCCCTCTTCATCCTAGGGCACGCAGGGAGGAACGGAGAAGGGAGCAACAAGAGTTGCGTGGCTTATGGGGGAGGAAAAGGCCCTGATTCCCTTCATTAGCTGCAGCTGGGAACACAGTGTATAAAAGAGGAAGCTGTGCACAGCAAGTTGTTGGGACCAAACTTGAATTCATCTTGCACTGTCATGGCTTATCTATGTTCCTGGCATCTTCCCAACTGTGTGTGTTTTGCTGTACTTTCAAGTCTGAAATTCCTTCTCCTGCCCTGTCAAGCTAATTACTTCAGCTTAGTTTGTTTGGATTTTTAGTTACAGTTGATATTTACCTTGTTTTGGACTGAATTTTCTACAGTTAAAGGCTGTTCCTGGGAGAGTTTTTCTCCAGCCGAAGGTAACCTGGACATTGGGGGCAAAGTTGGAGATAAGAAAGGGACTCTTATTGCTTATGTGACTGTGTTGCCTTTGTGCCACGCCCCGGGTTATCACAGAAGGTATGTTTGTTAAGCGAATCACCACCAGATGTTAAGCCCATGACTGCAATTCCCTGCTTACTTTTCCACCGATTCTGCTTGTCATAAGCAGGCTGTGAAAACTAGAAAATTGGTATCATGTAACAACGGGATGCTCTAACAGTCACAAGTATGAGCAATGGCTAGAAGCCTCCTCATTCAGCAGCCTTAACTTCAAACGGTTGTTGAAAGAGGGGTCATTTAGCAACGACTAACTCTGGACTTTTGTTACTCATTTCTTGTATTTCAGTGGCTTCTGATCAAAACAGGCTTTGTTTGCATTCACTTCATGTCATGTTCACAGCACATTCTATCATCCCAGCAATCTTGCTGTTTTTCAGCAGCTCAGTGGCTCCAAATGCACGCTCCATATTTTGTTCACTTCAGGTTATGAACAAAAATACTGAAGCAGTATCCTTTCTGCCCTGAAAGGGGGTTAAACTAGATCAGGGGGCTCCAAACATGGCAACCTTAAGACACCCAGAATTCCTCAGTCACTCATGCTGGGGAATCCTGGGAGTTGGATTGGATGATTCGGAGATCACTCACAGCTCTCCAATCGATTATGTTGTATTTTCTCCCGAAAAGTTTCTGTTGCATTTCAGCTTTGGCGGAAACTAGAACAAACTTATCACTTGTTCCTTCTGTGTATAGCAATAGCACTTAGATTTATATACAACCCTGTAGTGATTTACAGCATACTCTGGGTAGATTATAATGTCAGCATATTGCTCCCAACGGTCTGGGTCATTTTACCAACCATGGAAAGATGGACGCCTGAGTCAACCTTGAGCCTGTCAGGATCAAATTCCAGACTGTGGGCAGAGTTAGCCTGCAATACTGCATGCTAACCATTGTGCCACCAGGACTCCTATCTTTCTGTAATATATCAAATAAGAATAGTTTTGATGCCTTAGAAACATTTTTATTCTGCATAGTTATTTTTAAATTCTTACTTTACTTTCAGACAGCACATGTTGAAATCCTAATTTTCACTTACTGATTTATTGATTTTTGCAAGCAAATCCTCTTGGCACGGAGCATTTCTTCTGGCTGAGTCTCCTGTTTAATAAAGTTGTCTCTTTAGCGAAAGTAACTCAGCAATCTGGAAACAAACGATCGTGGTGAACACTTGGAAATTCCCCAGAGGAATTATCAAGCTTTTCTTGCAATCAAAAGGCTGATATAGTCTTTTCTCCTGTATGTGTCCTCTTGTGTTTAATAAGAGTAGAATTGTGGCTGAAATACTGGCTACAGTTTGGGCATCTGAATGGCTTCTCGCCCGTGTGTAAACTGACATGACTTATCAGATTCGAGCTAGTTGTGAAACCTTTCCCACAATCGGGACACTTGTATGGTTTCTCTCCTGTGTGAGTCCTCTGGTGTATCACCAGGTTGGAATTCCGACTGAAACTTCTCCCACACTGCAAACATTTGTGGGGTTTCTCTCCCGTGTGCAACTTCACATGGCTTGTAAGATTTGAACTAGTATTGAAGCTTTTCCCGCATTCCGGACATTCAAATGGTTTCTCTCCCGTGTGAGTCCTCTTATGAATCACGAGGGTGGTGTGCTCGCTAAAGCTTTTGCCGCACCGAGAGCACTGATAGGGTTTCTCTCCGGTGTGGCTCCTTTTATGGATAAAAAGGTTGGAGCTGCAGCGAAAGACCTTCCCACACTGGGAGCATTCGTACGGCTTTTCTCCCGTGTGGGTCCTTCGGTGAACTGCCAGGGAGCTGTTTCGACCAAAGCTTTTGCCACACTCGGAGCACCTGTATGGTTTTTCTCCAGTGTGGATCCTCTCGTGCATAATCAGCTGCGATCTGCAGCTTGTGTTTTTCCCACAAAAGGAGCATCTGTGCGCCTTCGGCACCACGGGCTTTCTTGGATTCTCAAGGAGATCGAAGATCTGCTTAATCCCCTGCTGAATGGCATTTTCATCCAAACCACTGTCTCTTTCCTCCCAAAATGGGGGTTGCTTTCCTACCAGGCCTAGATCGCAGTCCAAATTAGTTTTGCCTCTCTGCCGATGTCCAGGTGTCTCTTCCTCGTCATGAAATCGAAAACAATTAATTTCAGCTTTCTCCTGTAAAGCTTCATGGAGTTCCAAACGGCCCAAACTCTTCAACTCAACACTGCCTCCCAGGGTTGCCTTCCCTTGTCCGATACCTGATTTGCAGGGGGCAAAAAAATAATGTCATGATTTTTTTTTTAAAAAAAGAAAACAAGGCAAGTTTCCCTTTCTCGGTTTGATCACAACTGCTTTTACTATACTACCTGTGAACTAAAAGCACTTCTTTGATCTTTTTAGTTGCCAGCAGAAAGGGAGTAGGGGAAAGTAGTGCATTCTTCAAATGCTTCAGATAATTCCTAGGCAGCCGAAGCTGTTGGCACGCAAGATTATTACTGGAGAGCATGATTGATGACTCTTGGCTATGGATGTGTCCCATTGGAGAATATACATCCAGGGGGTGGGGGGGAAGACCAGGGTCAAGGATAAAATGAAAGATGTGTCTTAGAGTCAGCTGCACCCAGGTAATGCCTAATAAATCATTTTTTTTAACTCTGAGAGATGCAGCTAGAAACTTATGATTTGAATGGGGGTGGATTTGTCGGAGCCCTGACACTACCATTATAATCGACTGAGATGCTTAATTCATATTTCCCACAACTGTGTACAGGAAGTCCTTGACTTACGACCACATTTGAGCCCAGCATTTCTGTGGTTAAGTGAGGCTGGCTCCATTTTTACAACCTTTCTGGCCGCAGTTGTTAAGTGAATCACTGTAGGTGTTAAGTTAGGCACATGGCTGTTAAGCGGAACCTGGCTTCCCCATTGACTTTGCTTGTCAGAAGGTCGCAAAAGGAGATCCCATGACCCTGGGGACACTGCAACGGTCATAAACGTGAACCAGCTGCAAAGCATCTGAATTTTGATCACCTGACTATGGGGATGCTACAAAGGTCATAACTGGAAAATGGCCACTTTTTTCAGTGCTGTTGTAACTTTCAAGGATCACTAAGTGAACTGTTGTAAATCAAGGACTACCTGTAATTGATCTTTTTTTAACTGTGGGAGAAAACATTGCCTAAACCTAAAATAAAGTAAAAAAGAGCACTCATACAGGTAAAGGTAAAGGTTCCCCTCACACATACGTGCTAGTTGTTTCCGGCTCTAGAGGGTGGTGCTCATCTCCATTACAAAGCCGAAGAGCCAGCGCTGTCCGAAGATGTCTCCGTGGTCATGTGGCCGGCATGACTAAACGCTGAAGGCAGATGGAACGTTGTTACCTTCCCACCAAAGTGGTCCCTATTTTTCTACTTGCATTTTTACATGCTTTCGAACTGCTAGGTTGGCAGAAGCTGGGATAAGTAACGGGAGCTCACTCCATTACGCAGTGCTAGGGATTCGAACCACCAAACTGCCGATGCTTCTGATCAACAAGATCAGCGTCTTAGCCGCTGAGCCTCCACGTCCCATTAATCAAGAACTACTCATACAGGTAGTTCTTGATTAATGACCACACATGCTCTGGCTATTCAAAATTACAATGGTGATGAACAAGGGGACGTAGACTAACTTTATGGTCACTTTGAATATACACTAGTCGGCATACATTAAAATGAAATTTTGTTGCACCCAACTCTCAAAGGGTCTCCACATCCTGGACATAAACTGTTTCAACTCCTACCCTCAAAATGACGCTATAGAGCACTGCACACCAGAACACCCAGACACGAGAGTTTTCCCCCGAATGCTATCACTCTGCTAAACAAATAATTCCCTCAACGCTATCCAACTCTTTACAAATCTGCACTACTATTACTATTAATCTTCCCATCACTCCTTATCACCCATCCCCTCCCACTTATGACTGTAGGACTATAACTTTGTCGCTTGTATCCTTACGATTTATATTGACTGTTTCCTAGTATGATTTGATTGCTTATTGTACCCTATGACTCTTATTAAGTGTTGTACCTTATGATTCTTGACTGTTGATGAATGTATCTTTTCTTTTATGTACACTGAGAGCATCTGCACCAAGACCAATTCCTTGTGTGTCCAATCACACTTGGCCAATAAATAATTCTGTTCTGTTTTGTTCTGTTCTGTTCTGTTCTATTCTGTTCTATTCTATTCTATTCTATTGACTGTTCAAAGTTACAACAGCAAGGAAAACAGTGGCCCCTTTTCATACTTAGGACCGTTGCCGCATCCTTGTAGTCATGGGATCAAATTTCAGACACTTGGCAACTGGTTCAAATTGGTAACGCAGTATCCTAGGGTCATGTGATCCCCTTGTTGGAACAAATATCCTTCTGGGTTCAGGTCCAAGTGGGGGAAAAGACACTGGAAACATGGAGGCTGTTTGGAAAGATGGTTTAATGGTGGACAGGATCTCATGGCTTGGAGCTCCAAAGTGAAAAGGAAGATCACATGCTTCAAGGTGTTGGTTGAAGGGAAAGAAGGGCCAAGATGCTGAGAGACCCTTAGTTATATACCCTCTGTTGGGCCTCACCTTAGTGTTTCCTGTTCCTGTGTAAGAAATATATCCCATTGGCTGTCAGATTCCCGGGGCGGGTCTTAGCTAACTTTGTAGGCTTTGTCTGGACCACATGGCTTTACCTGAGTGCTGGCCGATGCAATCTTCCCAGGCCAGGTGGTGAGATGGGTAGAGGGCTTTGTTATGTAGAATACTCTGCCCCAGGCCTTAATGGCACGTCTATTAACAAAGGTGGGGAGTGAGCTTCTGCCTCTGAGGTGAATTTCTGTTTCTGAGTTTCTACTTCTCTCTTTAGGGAAAATATTCTGCCTTTTTAGTATATCCTAAAATATTTCATTTCCCTAGGAGAGGGGTGGGTGCTACCTTCCTACAGCCTTTTGCGACCTTCTGACTAGCAAAGTCAATGGGGAAGCCAGATTCATTGACGAAACATTTTTACTACATTAAATTGCAATGATTCGCTTAGCAACAGTGGCTAGAAAAGCCATAAAATGGGGCAAACATTCACTTAACAAAATGTTTCAGAAACATACATTTTTGGTCGCAAGTCGAGGACTACCTGTGTAATGTGTTAAAAACCTCACTGGGTTTGTTTACCTCCATCCCTTCCTGCAGCTATTCTAATCTGACCTTAATATAACACGAGAAATCCAGGAAGACTGACCAGAAACGGTGGTTTTTCTGTTTCTTTCTTGATGAGGTTTGTCAGGTGGCTGCATCTGCTTTGATTCTCCTCTGCATCTATTTCCAGGTTGGAGAAAAGTACCTGGACTTGCTCTAAAAACAAACACGAAAGCAAAATACACATAGCTATAATTATATCAAGCCCCCAGTTCAAATCAGCTGTCTGCAAGGAATATAAATCCTTCCATTCCCCACCATCCCGTCAGAACTGAAGAAGCTTCTTGGATGAGAAGCGAAACGTCTTCAAAAGAAAAAACGAGAAATCCCAGTTGCCTCCTTTAAAAAAAAAAAAAAAAAGCACTTTTAGGTAAACCGAGGTAGAACCTAAGGCCAGGTGTGGCCATCAAGCCCCACTTCTGCACTTCCAGCGCCCTGGAAGATATTTTAAGCGGAGAAAGCAAAAACAAGAGAGGTGGAAAACGGTACATATGGAGAGCAAGTCTGAGGTTTATGAAGAGAGAGGGACCTGCTGATACAAGGCAAAACAGGGATCCAGCCACTCCTCGAACTTCAAGGGCGAGGCCGATGGCAAGGTCTCCCTTCCATTTTGCAGCACACACACCCCAAATCCAACCTGCCTTCCCACTCCAATCCCCTTCCCCGATTTCAATCTCACGTCCGTCTAGCTCTAGCCCAGAGGTCTCCAAACCTGGCAACTTCGCTTGTATACTTATGATTTATATTGTCTATTTCCTACTGTGATTTGCTTATTGTACCCTGTTACTATCATTAAGTGTCATACCTTATGATTCTCGACTCTTGACGAATGTATCTTTTCTTTTATGTATACTGAGAGTATTTACACCAAGACAAATTCCTTGTGTGTCCAATCACAGTTGACCAATAAAGTATTCTATCTATCTATCTATCTATCTATCTATCTATCTATCTATCTATCTATCTATCTATCTATCTATTGGTCCTCCTTTTTCTTTCATTTTTCTATCTATCTATCTGTCTATCTATCTGTCTGTCTGTCTTCCTTTTCTTTCTTTCTTTCACTTTTCATTCTATTATCTATCTATCTATCTATCTGTCTGTCTGTCTTCCTTTTTCTTTCATTTTTCTATCTATCTATCTGACTGTCTGTCTTCCTTTTCTTTCTCTTTCTTTCACTTTTCTATTATCTATCTGTCTGTCTGTCTTCCTTTTTCATTTTTCTGTCTATCTATCTATCTGTCTGTCTATCTGTCTGCCTCTCTTCCTTTTCTTTCTCTTTCTTTCACCTTTCTTTCTTTCTCTCTCTCTCTCTCTCTCTCTCTTTCTTTCTTTCTTTCTTTCTTTAAGACTTGTAGATTTCAACTCCCAGAATTCTGGGAGTTGAAGTCCACAAATCTTAAAGTTGCCAGGTATGGGGACCCCTGCTCTAGCCGCTCTATGCACTCACAAACCTCTTGTTCTGTAGACTTAAAATAACTTTATTGTCACGTTGAACATGTCCTAATCGGCATACATTATAATGAAGTTTTGTTGCATACAGCCCTCAAAGGATCTCCCCTTCTAATATACACTACATAAACATGACAGGATGGGTGGATGGATGGATGTACCCACATATATTATATGAATGAATGGATGGTTGGATGGATGATGCATGTACCCACATATATTATATTACACGGAGAAACAACACAGTCTAGTTCGGCTGTGTATACATGTATGTATCCAGCGAGAGAAACGAGCGTTGCGAGGTAAGAGATGCTATAAATGGCAAAGGTGCTACCAGGCGCCTTTCCTTTCATCTTCACCTGGATTCACCGACGCGGGGGGGAAATCCCCATCTTTGACCATCCGAGGGGCTTCCCTCGACTTCCCTGCACGGCGCAGGTACCAAGGGAATGCACGCGCCTGAATTAGAGGGGTGACCCCGAGATCATCGCTCCTTCCCTGCCTTTTGCACCCGACGCCGTCCCAACCTCCGCGGCTGCGAAGCTTCCCTCCTCGCCCCCGTCCCCCGCCCCCCTCTCTTTGTCGGAAGAAGAGCAGCAGACACAGAACCTCCCGGCAGGCCGGAAGAGGAAAATTTCCCCTTTCGTTCGGGGCCACTCTAGTCGGCACGTATCTATAGTTCGGGCTCCTTTCCCCTTTCGTTCTCTGGCTACCACAACGCCCCTCTAGACGGCGGGTATCTATCGTTCGGACTCATTCATTGTAGCGTGTGGCACCCGGGAGCCAGGAGCGCGACGAAAAAGTTGTGGCGGAAACGATTCGCAGTTTCTTCTTAACAGATTCACGGACTAACGGAGTTGGAAAGGGGCCTTGGAGGTCTTCTAGTCCAACCCCTACAACTTCTGGAGGCATCTCGGGCGCAGAAGCCCCCGAAGCATTTCTCCCCCTCCTGGAAAGCGGAGAAGGGCGTGCGTAGAGGCTGGTGGGTGCCCCCCTCGCATCGCCTTGGGGCAGGAGACCCAGTGGGAAGCCAGGATGGAGAACACCCTCGTCCCAGAGGCTCCACCCGATCTCTGCAGCCACGTGGCCGAGGGGCCCCGGGAGATTTGCAGCCGCCTGCACCGCCTGTGCCATCAGTGGCTTCGGCCGGAAAAAAGCAGCAAAGACGAGATGCTGGACCTGGTGGTGCTGGACTATCTGCTGGCCCTGCTGCCCCAGGAGATGGCGAACTGGGTGAGGGAGTGCGGAGCCGAGAGCTGTTCCCAGGCGGTGGCCCTGGCCGAAGGCTTCTTGCTCAGCCAAGCCCAGAGGGAAGAGCCCGGAAAGGGGCAGGTGAGGAATGGGGCGGGGTGTCTCTCTCCCTGGGAGCTGAGGATGGAGAGGGGAGGGGAGGATCAAAGATCCATCCGTGTATCAATAAAGGAGAATATTGGTGGCTCCTGGGTGACGTGGGGATGGGGGTAATCCGTGTATCAATAAAGGAGAATATCGGTAGCTCCTGGGTGATGTGGGGATGGGGGTAATCCTTGGTGCCTCTGAGCGTGTGGTTCCCAGTTCGGGCCTGAGCCTGGTGGCGAGGCCAATGAAGGACGCCAGACACAAGGTGCAGATTTTGATTTCCTTTTTATTGGGGTGCTCCAAGGAAAAGGGGTCCTGGCCCAAATGCCAAGAGCAAAGGATTAAGAAAGCTTTAGACATTTTCCCTAAAGCAGAAGGTGGGATAATAAGAAATATAATCTGATAAACATTTTAGGAATGATCTAACATAAGAGATCCCCAACTGGTGGTCCGCGGACCACTGGTGGCCCGTGAGAAAATGTTTGCATTTTTGCATTTCTTATATTGCACTAAAAAATCAGGTATCTTCAAACTACAGCCTCTGGGCCGGATATGGCCCATGGAAAGCAATGAATCTGGCCGAGTGTGAACACGAGGCCATGCTGCCCATATTACCCTGCCCACCTGCTGGACCCCCACACTTGGGCCGAGCGCAAACCTTGAGATGCGAACCACACGAACTGGAAAGTCGGGGAGGGAAATCCGCCCTGGACTCAGTACGCTCAGCCCAACGGAGTGGTGGTGGGGAGGCTCAGCTGCCTTTCGAGCCTGCCTCTTGGCTTCTACGAGGCCTCCTCGCCTTGAGGAGCTCACTAAAGCAGTGTGGGAAACTTCTCCCTAGCTTTGCCGTGCATTGCAGCTAAATCGGTCCCATATTCCAGAGCTTCAATAGTCCCAGGATTTGATCATCCCGAAGCAGCTGCCAGTAGTTGGGCCAGTCCTGTGACTACTACAGCTCTGGAATATGGGACCCACTTTCCCACCACCGTCAGTCTGCCCCTCTTCATTTTCCTTCACTCCGACGGACCAAGCTTGAGAGAAGGAACACAAAAGAGTTTCCTGGAAGGCTTTGTGCCTGAACCAAGGGCTTTCTCTTGGGCCTCCTGCTTGGAGGCCGAGAGAAAGTGTCTCGTCCGGACACAGTGCCCCAGGGTCAAGCTAGCACCGATGTCCCGCTGCATCCATCCAGCAGGAAAACAAGAAAGGGGAGGCGGAGAGAAGTAGTCCAGCTGCCAAGGTACACCAGAGTGGGAGGCCAGCGGACCCGAGAGTTTCTTCCCCGTCTTCTGAGGAACATGGGACTTCTCACGACCGGGTCCTGAGATCTCTTGCAGTTTGTTCTGCTACTGGAGGATGGGCTGCAGCAGTCCCACCTTGGCCCATGCCAGCTCCCTTGAGTTGCCCATGCCAGAATCTCCCCCTTTGGGGTCTTTTTGAGTGGGTTGGAGGGGGGGGGAGAAATTCCAACTTGGGGTCTGCTTCAGCCTCCTGGTGCGGGGCTTTGGGCGAAGGTTGGAAGGAAACGCTGCCGATGGCGAAGAGCCGGAGGGCCTTGGTCCAGTGGGACTGCATCATGGCCTGGAACTGGCTGACCATCTCAGCCCGCTGAGCCTCCAGGCGCCGGTACCTGGCCTTGCACTCCCGCAGGTCTTCCCTCTGCTTGGAAAGCCTATGCTCGTTGTCCTCAGTGAAGGGCTTCTGCTGAGCCTCCTTCTCAGTCAGATCCAATTTGAACTGAGCCAGCTGTTTTGCCGACTCTTTCTCGTGGTGGCTGTTTAGTTCCAACAACTGCTTCCTGTTGGGGCCCTAAGGAGCCCAGGCAGGCAGGCGAGGAGAGACCAGCGAGGCACGCCTCGATGTGAGTGACATCGAGTTGGCCATTTTTACCCAGCCAGTCATTGGGCAGATCAAACTATAGTCCAGCCCCCAACAGTCTGGGGACTGTGAATTGGCCCCCTGTTTAAAAAGTTTAAGGACCCCTGCGCTAAATTCACAAACTGCCCTAGTGAGGGGGAAACAAGAGGTGCAGCGTGACATCAGGGTAGTCTTAAGATGAGGCAGCCATTGTTGAGCTGCACGCTTCAATATTGTTTTGACCATTACAACAGTCACCCTGCTCTGAGGATACCAATTCTCATCCAGTTGTTTTATTTCTCAGGTGCTCTTTTTAGGTAAGTTTGACCTTAACTGTATTTTCTTTGACTGCAATACTTAATGGCATCAAATAATTTGATTTTGACAACTATCATTTCTTGTTTGATTCTAGATTCAAATGGTTCCCATGATGAGTGAAACGCAAAGGAATATTTTGCATTTCTTTAGTAATACAAAAGATAACATTACTAACGACGATAGTAACAACAATATGTATACTTCATTTAACCATGAGCTGATCAGT